ATTTAGAGAAGGTGGGGCTAATCATAGCTCCAGAGAAGGTCCAAATGCAAGCCCCATATTCCTACCTTAGGTACCAATTGGCCATGGATGGAATTAAACCAAAAAAATTAACTATTGACACCTCTCATCTTAAAATCTTACATGATTGGCAGCAGTTACTGGGAGATGTACAGTGATATGCCCCTCCCTAGCAATCAAAACAGGTGACTTAAGCCCATTGTATGATATGCTTTTGGGAGATCCTGTCCCAACTTCTCCCTGAGTATTGACGCCTGCGGCCAGGCAGGCCTTAAGGCTTCTTCTGGACAACATTGAAAGGGTCCATCTCCAGCAGATTAATTATGATCAATCATTAAATCTTGTAGTTCTTGCTTCCAACTTTGCCCCTACTGGAGTCTTTTGGCAGGATGGGCCTATTTTATGGGTACACATGCCTGCCTCTCCAGCGAGGGTAGTCACCCCATACTATGAAGCTATATTGCAATTACTTTGGAAAGCTAAGAAGGTTGCTGCCCAGACATTTGGGAAGTACCCTGACAAGATTATAACACCTTATACTAAAGACCAGCTAGTATATTTACAGCAGTACCATGATGAGTGGACCCTTTTTCTCACCTCTTCTCTAGAAGTTTTGATTCTCATTATCCTCAGCATCTATTAATGGTCCTATTCAAAATTCATCCCATTATATTCCTTCGAGTGATTAACGAATCTCCCATACCTTCAGCTTGTGCTATCTTTACAGATGCTTCCTCTAAAGGGAATGCAGTAGTGGTTTCTGGACGAAAAGTATGGAAACGTCCTGTGGGGGATGTATCAGCCCAAGCTGCAGAGGTAACAGCCTGCCTCATTGCACTCCAGCTCTTCCCTGGGGAACCTGTAAATTTGTATACTGATAGTGTGTATATGGCCCATATCTTTAAGCCATTGGAGACATCTGCCTATATATCACACACCTCTAAGGTCCATCATTTGCTCAGTTGTGTTTAGCATTTGATTTGGCAGCAAACTGAGCCTTTGTTTGTCGGACATATCCACAGTCGTACCCAGCTGCCTGGGCCATTGTCAGCAAGTAATGATTTAGCTGATAAAAATACACGTGTTTGCTTTACTTCTGACCGCGCCCAAGAAATACATGATAAATTTCATCTTAATGCGCTCTCTCTTCGACATCATACTCATTGCATGCGAGAAGTAGCACAAGCCATTACATCATCTTGTCCTCAGTGTGCTCCTTTCCTAAGCAGCCCCAATTTAGGAGTTAACCCACCAGGATTACGACCAAATCAGTTATGACAGATGGATGTTACACACCTGCCTGCTGCAGGGAAACTTAAGTTTGTCCATGTATCAGTCAACACCTTTTCAGGAGTAATTTTCGCATCCTTGCATTCAGGAGAACGAGCAAAAGATTCCATTGCACACTGCCTTTCTGCTTTTGCCTATATGGGCAAACCTGAGGTTATTAAGACAGATAATGGCCCAGCATATATCAGAGAAAAATTTTCATCCTTTTGTTCATTCTATGAAATTTCCCATAAAACAGGCATCCCATATAATCCAATGGGCCAAGCAATCGTGGAAAGAGCCAATCAGACCCTCAAGCAATATTTTCAAAAATTAAAAAGGGGGGAGTTCATATTCTCCCCAGCAACTCAATTATCCACCATTCTCTTTATTTTAAATTTTTTGACTGTGGATGCTGAAGGGCGCTCACCTATGGAGCACCATACACAAGTTAGGACTCAGAGCCTAGTATGGCTTCGTTGGAAAGATCTGCAAACAGGAAGATGAACCCCCTTGTTAGCAAAGGTGAAGGGGGCTGTATATGTTTTTCCTCCAGGAGTTCATAAACCAATTTGGGTGCCAGAGAGGTGTGTAAGGCCCAGGATGAAGACCGCGATGCTCCTTCTACTTCAGGTGATGACTCTGGTAACAACAACATCAATGAGTGATGGGGAGTCTGGTGTGAAACCCCCCACTTTTAATGCCTGTTAGTATTGCATAATACCTATGGTCCCAAATCTGCTCCTTGGTGTTGGGATGCTGATAGAAATTTTAATCTCCACCCCACAGTTATGTGGGGAGAATGTATCACTCAAGAGCCTGATTTGTTATATTGCTGGACGCAATGACTATTTGATCCTCTGCTGGCGTTCCTGCCCCCATGTATTCTTTGTATTGTGGAATGGCACTTTGGGGGGAGATATTCTTAATTGTTCTTTCAGGATCTGCAAGCTGAGTAATTGCTGGGACAGTTCTGATGAAGCTTTGATCGTTTGAGTGCCTGCTGTGATTCCTCTGCTGGTGCTGGTGTCTCAAGAACATCAGGAGATCACCCTTTATCGACAGCAGGAGAACAACTGCAATTCTTGCTGCTATTGCTGTCACTGCCACTGTGGCTACAGTTGTTGAAGTTGCCATTTCTCAGGCAGCTGTGACTACAGAGACTGTGGATCAGCTGTCTGGAAGGGTTAGCGAGTCCCTACAGTTACAGAGTGCTCTGGACTCTCATATTGGACTTGGACTTTTAAATTTAAATCAACATGATGTGGGAGTGTCATATATCAATCTGTTGATTTCATTGGTTAAGCAATAAAGAAACTGCTTGGCCCTGATAGGTTAAAACATAGGTGGGAGGAGTAAGCAGAACAGAATGCTGGGAGGAAGAGGAAGTGAGTTCAGAGACGCCATGCTCCCCTCTCCCGGGCAGACATGCGAGCTCTGCTCTCTGAGGCACACGCGATGAAGCTCCGACCCAGGATGGACATAGGCTAGAATCTTCCTGGTAAGCGCACCTAGCGGTGCTAAACAGATGATTAGAAATGGGCAAAATTAATATGTAAGAATTAGCCTAGAAGAGGCTAGATAGAAATGGGCCAAGCAGTGTTTAAATGAATACAGTTTGTGTGTTGTTATTTCGGGGCACAAGCTAGCAGGCGGCCGGGGTGCTGGGGATGCAGCCTCACCACTCCTATTACAACATCAACAAACTGTGCTTTTACAAGGACAGGTAGATTCCCTTTGACTCCTGGGACAAGTGTCTTGTACGTTACACCTGCTAATGTTATAAATGCTTCTGATGTGGTTAAACAGTTGAATGCATGTTTGGATGGCCCTTGGAATTCCTCCTTTTTGAATTTCACCCTGTAGACAGTTTATCATATTGTTAGTATTAATAGCACATGGGTCCCTGCTGTATCTGTATCCAGTCAGTAGAATGCCATGGCCCAGCTTGGGGGCTGGGTCCAGCAAATGTCTAGAATGCTCTCATTTGTACTGATATTGCTATTGGGATTATCTGTTTTTGAATTCTCTGCCGCTCTATGTGGCAATCCCACACAGCACACTGTCACTTGACAAGTGTTGCTCAGGTTATCTTCCAGTAATCAGGAAGTGCCCCAAGTCTGACTGCAGAAGTCATGAGGGATCCCTAGGATGGACAACTGTCATGGTACATAGAGCTCACCTAAGACAGGGATTAAAGCCTCCCTAGATGGGTCAGAGTCTCTATCTGGGAGAGTCCTAAAACAGGGGCTCTCATGCTTTTAAAATAAAAAGGGGGGAATTGTTGGGTCCCTAGAGGACAGACCTTCGCAACCCCACTTGATCTGTTTTGCACTCTTGAGGTTGGTTGAAAACAGGAACAATCTGTTGTTTTCAGCAATGTTTCTAAGGGTGTTTACCCCTAAGCCATTGAGTTATGGTGATGAGCTTCCTGCGATTACTGATTTGGCCTCCCCTGCTGAGGGCTATATATACTTGTGAGAAAGTGGAATAAAAAGGCTTGTCTTCAGAACCTGAAGTTGTGTTGCTTTTAATCCCGATGTCCTTCACTCGGAATAACGACAGTTGCCGTGCTGGCGCCGCACTACTCAAAACATTTAATATGAGTGAGAGAGAGTAGGTAGACTATCCTCTAGAAACAACACATTAGTTTATGATTACCTGCATTTGGACTTCACCGAGCTCAGGGAACCTCTGAAAATGGACCTTTATAAATTTGGATCCACGTCTAAGGGCTCTCACTGGCTGCAAATGTCACTACCTTAATGTGCACTATAGAAAATTAGACTTGGCATATTTGAATGAGAAAGAAACCAATATGAGCAGAAAACATGCTATAGAGGTTAAATGGATTTATGTTTCTTGAAAGAGAAGGAAGTTATTTTAACTATGACGGAGGAAACAAAATGAATTTTAAAAATAGGACTTACATGATGGCTCAGCTCCTAAAGGCACTTAATTCACAAGACTGATTGCATATGTTCAATTCCTGGGTGCTAGAGAGGAAGAAGAGTCCCTAATCTCAAGAACTGTCCTCTTACCACTACCTGAGTGCCTTGAAATCTATATGCCTATGTATGCAAATACTGAACACACAATAATACAAGGAATAAAATGAATACAATTGTTTAATTAATAGTAAAACTAAATAAAAGTATATAACATAAGCAAAAGACTTTATGTAATGGCAGTTTTAAGGCTTGGCAGAGCTGTGATGATGAGCTAACCCTCATTTTTCTACTCAAGGATGTTGGGAGTGAACCATGACCTTTAAGAGTCAGGAGGCTTGGCTTTGGCTGGTACAAAGATGAGAAGAGCCAGGGAAACCAGTTACACAAATGGAGCTTCCACAAAACCTGCAGCCATGCTTCTGGCTAGAAAGTTGAGGGATGGGAAACAGATCCTAACTGGGGCATGATGAGACTTCCACTTTGGGTACTGAGGTGAGTGAATTGATGCAAATGGTCCAAAATTGGTAGAAGAGGAGATGCCAGGAACCCCAGAAGTCATGCAGTTGAGCCAGCAGGCAGTGTTTTTCGTGCATCTCATCTCTGCTTTCAGGTTTACTGCAAGCACCCTAATAGGCTTTAAAGGACAAGACCCCAGGTCTACAGGGTAGATTTCCTGTTCAAAGTCTAAATCAAGCTGAGAGGGCCTCTGTGGATTGAGAGGAATTTTCTCCTAAGAGAAAGTATGGGTTCAGAACCCTGACCATGCTGTCAGGACCAAGAAACATAAGCCTTGAGAACCATGTGAGAGTTTGCCCAGATCGTCTCCTCTGGGACTCAGAAAGGTGTGGCTTCCTACGGAGACTGGACCTGAACCTGAAGCATTACTTGGCTGTGGAAAAGAGTGGGACACAGCACCCTGAGATCCAGGACAAAGCTGTCAACCTGTGTAGTAAATCTAGACTTCCACGTAAAGGACTGAGGCAAGGGAGGGTTATGTGTGTAGCTGGCAGACTTGGGTATATACTGGGCAGGAGCTCGAGCTTCACTCTACCTAGCTAAGACTTGCTAGACAGAAGTTGTGCCCTTGTGTCCTTTATTACCCCCACCACCCAACACCATGGTGGTGGGGGTAGGGTGGAGTTCCAGGACAGCAGAGGAGTGTGGCTGAAGGCTGAGAATTAAGTTATAAACAGGAGATTTGCATGCAACCAGGGGCAGGACATGCAAAATGGGGAGAGGAGGAGGCAGATTCAGGGAGTGTATTGCAGAGATGGAAACACGGTGTGGTGGATGATACTTGAGTTAAGTGGGGTTTCAGAGGTTCAGGTTTTAAGCTCTGCACATAATAGCCCAAGAAATGTGTAGGCAGTGGGAAGGATTAGTGTCTTTGGGAAGTACAGTAAGGAAACCAGACTCTCCACAAAATTTCTTCCACAGCAGTCCGTTTCCATAGCAACCTGGCCCTGCTATCATTATTCAGAGTCCACCCTGGCCGGATATGGTTTACCCTCTCTTCCTGTGGGGGGGGAGGAGTTGGGTCTTAGTGCCCCTGGCAAGGAAGCCGGCTCTGCTGCTCAGGCCCCATTGCCAGCCAGCGAGTCCTCAGAGAGGTCTGCAGTCAAGGTAAGGACCCTGAATGTGTACCAAGGGGGAATGTGTCTGGAATAATCACAGGATCTGTGCTAGCTCTCACTCAGGCTTGCCCTGGGAAAATATGAGGCATCTTGTAGCTTTGTATGTTTCTGAGAGGAAACGGGAACCCCCGCTCGTAGTAGGTAACTCTGATTCTGAAAATGGTGGCTTCTTAGATAACAATTGAAGCCAGCCGTTGACTTCTAAATGATAATCAAGAACCTTGAACTGAATTCTAGTCCACCATGACCTGTTCTGGCCCTGGGCTCTAAAGTGCCTCTTGGCAGAGTACAGAAGCAAAGGAAGTAGATCTGCTTTGATCACCAGCAAAATAGGTAAATGTTCAGTGGAATGAAGAATGAACTGCTGAGATCTCTGTACTTACTGTTTTTTCCCCTTAGAGACAGGGATTCTCTGTAGCTTTGGAGGCTGTCCTGGAACTAGCTCTTGTAGACAAGGCTGGCCTCTAACACACAGAGATCTGCCTGCCCCTGCTACCCAAGTGCTAGGACTATAGGCTTGGGACATCACCACTTGGCTCTCTACTTATTCTTAAATGCCTGAGGGGCACTTAAAACCCATGTCTCTGGATCAAAACCCCGTGCCATTGTCCTTGGCGTCTCATCAGCCCTCATTGTTCGCCATGTTCAGAGAGTCCGGTTTTATCCCATGCTTTTTCGGTCACAGTCCAGCTGGCCTTGGTGAGCTCCCAGTAGATCAGCTCCACTGTCTCAGTGGGTGGGTGCACGCCTCGTGGTCCCGACTTCTTTGTGTGCTGGCTTTGTGGAAGCCTAGCCAGTTTGGATGTTCACCTTCCTAGATATGGACGGAGGGGGGAGGACCTAGGACTTACCACAGGGCAGGGAACCTGGACTGCTCTGTGGACTGGAGAGGGAGGGGGAGAGGAGTGGGGGGAGGGGTAGAAGGGTGGGAGGAGGGGGAGAAGGGTGGGAGGAGGGGGAGGGAAATGGGAGGCTGGGAGGAGGTGGAAACTTGTTTTTTGTTTATGTTTTTTTTTCTTCTTTTCTTAATAAAAAAAATTATTTAAAAAAAAAAAAAAAAAAAAAACCCATGTCTCTGAAAAACACGCAAAAGGCATGGGGTTGGTCATGCCCAACACGGGCTCGTAGGAGGTCTCAAGGAGCCAAAGAGGGGATACATTGAGGATTAAGATAGCAACGCCCATCTCGGAGTGGTCACAGGAAGTGCCATGTACAGAAGATACCCAGAGGCTTTGGTTAGCCACTCCCATTACATGGGAGTGGGAGAAAAGCCTAACTCTGGTAGTCACTCCCATACCGTGGGTATCAGAGGAAAGTCTATCTCTGGTAGCCACTCCCATCCTGTGGGAGTCAGAAAAAAGCCTAAACCTGGTATCTTCTCTCATCCAGTGGGAGTCATAGAAAAGCCTAACTCTAGTAGCCACTCCAACTCAGTGGAGTCAGAGAAAAACCTAACTCCAGTAGCCACTCCCATCCTGTGGGAATCAGAATAAATCCTACATCAAGTAGCCAATCCCATCCCTTGAGAGTTGGAGGAACTTCTAACTATGCTAGGCATACCCATCCTGTGGGACTCAGGGGAAAGCTTAACATGGGTCAGCAAGCACATCCCCTGGAAGTCATAGGAATCTTAGCCTGGGCAATCATGCCTAGTGTATGAAAGTCATAAGGAACAATATACCAGAGATAACTAGAGGGTTTTTTTTGTTTGTTTGTTTTATAGCGTTGAAGCCTCTCCTAGAACTCACTCTGTTGTTCAGGCAGGACTAGAACAAACAGAGATCCATGTGCTTCTGCCTCCAGACAGCTGGGAGGGACCAAAAATTGCACAGCCACCTCCCAGTTATCGGGAGGCTTTTTTTTTTTTTTTTTGGTTCTTTTCAGACAAGGTTTCTCTGGTTATCAGTCCTAGCTGCCCTGGAACTAGCTCTTGTAGAGCAGGCTGACCTCGAACTCACAGAGATCTAGGTCCCTTTTATGTTGCCCCAAACTACTCTTAAGAATCAGAAATGGAGCCCAACAGTGATGGCAGGGAGGTAGTGGGAGGCAGAGGCTCTGTGAGTTTGAAGTCAACCTGTTTCTCCAAAGCATGTTCCAGGTTCCAGGACTACTAGGGCTATTACACAGAGAAACCCTGTCTTTAAAAAAAAGAAGGAAAAGATAATAAATGCAAGGATAGACAGAGAGCACAGCTGGTGTATACTGTTTGCTTAGCATTCGTGAAGACCTAGGTAACGTGGCAAAGAGGGCTAAAGCAGACATTATTAAATAAAAATAAATAATGTGGAAGTGTTAAAGCCTCCTGCCAATACTCTCCTTTACTCTTAGGGAGAAGTAAGAAGAAAATAGAAAATTGACCAGGATGAGCAGAATAGGAAGAGAGGAAATACAGCAGTGGTTGAGGGAAGCGGGGAAGAGTATGATACCTTTACAGCAGTTCCCATGACTACGTGAAATGAGTGCGGACAAAGAAAAAGGGTCAGCTTCAAATGTCTGAGCAGGATACTCATATCCTGACTAAATAAAAACAGAAAACTAACAAATAGCACAGCAATATTTAAAATGTCCTGAATTAGGAGCTGGAAGTGTGACAGCCCTCTGTGCTCCTCTGAGCCTGTTCTCTGAGAAGGGACAGCCTTGGTCTCCTATAGGCCCACTTTAGCCTTGGTCTCCAGTACCTAACATCAGTGAAGATATATGGAGGTGAAGGAATCTCTTTCAAAATAATGGGGCTACTGAAAGTCAGGTGCTATAGTGTGACATGGACATGTACACCTGTCGTAACTAGCCACAGGCTCTGTTCCCAGGGCATTGTAAGCCCAAGAGGGCAAAGGTCAGCCTTGTGAGTTTCAGCATTTCCATCACATCTTTTTTTAAACTTTTATTTATTTATTTATTTATTAAAGATTTCTCCCTCCTCCCCGCCACCGCCTCCCATTTCCTTCCCCCTACCACAATCAAGTCCCCCTCCCTCGTCAGCCCAAAGAGCAATCAGGGTTCCCTGCCCTGTGGGAAGTCCAAGGACCACCCACCTCCATCCAGGTCTAGTAAGGTGAGCATCCAAACTGCCTAGGCTCCCACAAGCCAGTACTTGCAGTAGGATCAAAAATCCATTTCCATGGTTCTTGAGTTCTCAGTAGTCCTCATTGTCCGCTGTGTTCAGTGAGTCCGGATTATCCCAGGCTTTTTCAGACCAAGGCCAGCTGGCCTTGGTGAGTTCCCGATAGAACACCCCCCTTGTCTCAGTGTGTGGGTGCATCCCTCGTGGTCCTGAGTTCCTTCCTTGTGCTCTCTTCTTCTGTTCCTGATTTGGACCTTGAGATTTCAGTCCGGTGCTCAAATGTGGGTCTCTGTCTCTGTCTCCTTTCATCGCCTCATGAAGGTTAATATCCAAGAGGATGCCTATATGTTTTCCTTTGGGTTCAGCTTCTTATTTAGCTTCTCTAGGATCATGAATTATAGGCTCAATGACCTTTACTTATGGCTAGAAACCAATTATGAGTGAGTACATCCCATGTTCCTCTTTTTGGGTCTGGCTTACCTCACTCAGGATAGTGTTTTCTATTTCCATCCATTTGCATGCAAAATTCAAGAAGTCATTGTTTTTTAATGCTGAGTAGTACTCTAATATGTATATATTCCATACTTTCTTCATCCATTCTTCCATTGAAGGGCATCTAGGTTGTTTCCAGGTTTTGGCTATTACAAACAATGCTGCTATGAACATAGTAGAGCATACACTTTTGTTGTGTGATAGGGCCTCTCTTGGGTATATTCCCAAGAGTAGCATTGCTGGGTCCAGGGGTAAGTTGATCCCGAATTTCCTGAGAAACCGCCACACTGCTTTCCAGAGTGGTTGAACAAGTTTGCATTCCCACCAGCAATGAATGAGTGTCCCCCCTTACTCCAGCAAAGGCTATCATTGGTGTTTCTGATTTTAGCCATTCTGACAGGTGTAAGACGGTATCATAAAGTTGTCTTGATATGCATTTCCCTGATCGCTAAGGAAGTTGAGCATGATCTTAAGTGTCTTTTGGCCATTTGAACTTCTTCTGTTGAGAATTCTCTGTTCAGCTCAGTGCCCCATTTTATAACTGGGTTCATTAGCCTTTTATGGTCTAGTTTCTTGAGTTCTTTGTATATTTTGGAGATCAGACCTTTGTCAGTTGCGGGGTTGGTGAAGATCTTCTCCCAGTCAGTGGGTTGCCTTTTTGTCTTAGTGACAGTGTCCTTTGCTTTACAGAAGCTTCTCAGTCTCAGGAGGTCCCATTGATTCAATGATGCCCATAATGTCTATGCTGCTGGGGTTATATGTAGGAAGTGGAATCCTGTGCCCATTTGCTATAGAGTACTTCCCACTTTCTCTTCTATCTGTGTTTTCTCTCATTGTGCATCATGCATTTTGGTCTTTTTCTTTATTGAAAATTCAATTTATTTTATATATAGCTCTGATTTCCCCAGAATTCACAATGTAGACCAGGATAACTTTTAACTTCTGGAAGTCCTTGTGCTGGTAATTCCTGAGTGCTATGATTATTTTTTGCTTTTGACTTATTATTTAATTTGTGTTCACTGTATTTATATCATTTCCTATCTTCTCCCTTTATCCCCACCCATTCCTGCCATGTGGACTCAAATCGACAGCCCATTTTATAATTATCATTGTGATATATGTGACAATATATAAATACATACATGTATATTATATATTTCTTATGTAACAATAATATCAATAATTTAAGTAATAAATAATATAAACACATGCATTTATTATATGAACACTTAAATACAGCCTAATATGCCCATTTATTTTTGCTTACATGTGTATGGTTTTAGGACTGTGCGATTATGCCTGCAGAAGACTGAATCTCCCTCTTGTAACAGCCCCTGTCTACAGTACTACATTTAGGGGTATGGCCTTGTGAGACTTCACCATTCATGTTATGTGAATTGGTATTTTCATTCAAGTTCAAGTCTCCTTTGGGCTTCCTTACTCATGGGTTCTGTGAAGCATTACAGCAGCCTAGTACTAGATGTGAGTAGAATTGAGTGTGTTCAAACACCAGACAAAGGCAGCCATCCTTTACCTCACAGTATATATAAGGTGACCAGAGGTGAGGAATACAGTGAGTGCTTAGAACACTGATGTCATTATACTGTGTGAGACAAGGAGGGGAAAGAATTGCTGAAAGCCTGAGTGTTCTCAACATGCTCAAAGTGGTCATAGTACGTTATTTTCCTGATTCAGGTATCTCAGTTCCCTGTTCTACTACCAAGACTCTGTCCTGCTGTCCCTGACGCCAGCCATCATGCCACGGGGACAGAAGAGTAAGGCCCGTGCTCGAGAGAAACGGCGGGCACTCAAGGATGCTCAGGCAAAGGAGGCAGAGAAAGCAGAGTCACCTGCTGGCTCTGATCAAGCTTCAGGAGATGCTAAGCCAAGCACTTCTACTGCTGACTTCCCACAGCAATCTGAAATCTCAGCACCCAGCAGCACTGCCAGCCAGGGAGGGAGCCATGGAAGGTCTGATAATGGTGACCAGGGCCAAGGGGATGGAAATGAGCGTCCCCCCGGGGCTCTACTCTCCACTAGAAGCATGCAGATGGATCTTATGACAAGGAAGACAGGAATGCTGATGGAGTACATGCTCTACAAATACAAAGTGCAGCAGCCCCTGAAGAGAGGAGAGATGCTCAAAGTTATCAACAAAAGGTTCAAGGAACACTTCCCCGAGATCCTCAAGAAAGCCTCCTATCGATTGGATGTGGTGTTTGGCCTTGAGCTGAAAGAAATCCTGCCACATGGTCAAGCATATGAGCTTGTGAGCAAGTTAGATTTCGAGGATGATGGAAGTAGGAGCAATGAGCTAGGTGTTCCTACCAGGGGCATTCTGATTGCTCTCCTCAGTGTGATCTACCTAAATAACTATTGTGCTTCCGAGGAGGATGTCTGGTATTTCCTGAATGCATTAGGAGTCTATGATGGGATCATGCACGTCTTCTTTGGGGATATCAGGAAGCTCATCACTGAGCAGCTAGTGCGGGAAGAATATCTAGAATACCGTCAGGTTCCTAACAGTGATCCTCCATCCTATCAGTTCCTGTGGGGCCGGAGAGCCTATGCTGAAACATGCCAGATAAAGGTGATGGAATTTTTAGCCAAGATCAGTGAAGCCTTGCCTGGGGTTTGCTTATCTCGTTATGAGCAGGCTTTGATTGAAGAGGAAGAGAAAGCCCAAGCTGAAGCTGCAGCCAAGTCTGGCACTAAAGGCAAGGCTAAGGGACGTACTAAGACCAAGTTAAGTCGTCCTACTCACAAGTGAGGTATAAGGTAGCCTGTGATCTATTGTTGAAAAGATCTGTTCATATTTTTGCAAATAAGCTGTTGATAATCTTTTGGGGGATTTTTAGCAAAGTTTTGACTTGGGGCTAGAATGTACACAGATAAATTTTGTAGCCTGTCTTTTCACTGTTGTTTACCAAATTGGGAGCTCAAATTTTTTGGATTGATTTGAAATACAGTTTACAATTTGACATGTTCTAAGGATTTGATGATGTTCATAAGATACTATGGAATTACATTAAGAAAATGTTGTACAATATGAAAGAAAAACATTCAAAAGTGTTACGCTTTTCAATGAATATTTTCTTTTATTCCTTGTTTTCTTAGCATTGATGTCAGGGATGTATACTGACTTTTGTTTCTGATATTAAAATATATGTGAGAAATTAGCAGAAAATCAGATCTCTTGTTTTAAAGGTTCATGATTTAACCAAACACACACTGAATATCTACTCTTGCAATGTTATCAACCTGTGTATTTGAAATGTTTGGTAAAAGAAGCAGGAGGTCTGGGATATGCAATGATATTTTCTCTAAGAAGCTCATTATTGGACAGAATGGAATAAGATCTCTACTTCCTAAGGAGACAATACATAGAGTGATGTCTTGTTCAACAGAAAATATTTTTCTATATTCATTACTAGTTATCTTTAGGGATATAAAAGTTCTTGTTTTTCCTTCTTGTTCATGACCTGGAATACAGGACTTTCTGTAGAATCTTTTAGGCAAAATGTTAAGAAAAATAAGGATAAAAATTATTAGATTATAAGTTTGTAAGTGTTATCTAATATACCATAAGTCTACTGGGTTTTAGATATAACCACCTGTGCTTTATATTAAAATCACTTCATTAAATTTGTTTTCTGAACTTTGTAATTGAAATCACAGTGTTAAGATTAAAGTTTGATGTAAAAGATTGTTTATAAATATATTTGTACTAATTTAAAATTATATGTAGTTTAAAAATTTAAATGTTGATTCAATACCCTGGGATATGATGTTTGATTTTCTACAACAATATTTCTTTTCTTTTTTTGTTTTTTTTTCTGTTTTATTTTTGATACACCATTTCCCTGTGTAGCCTGGCTGTCTTGAAACTTTCTCTGTAGACTAAGTTAGGCTTAGACTCACAGAGATCCACCTGTGATCAAGTGCAGTGATTAAAGGTATTCACAACCACTGCCCAATTAACAATATTTTATTAAGTGCTGATGTGTTTTTTTGTTTTGTTTTGTTTTTGTTGTTGCTTTTTTTTTGTTTTGTTTTCCGAGACAGGGTTTCTCTGTAGCTTTGGTGCCTGTCCTGGAACTAGCTCTTGTAGTCCAGGCTGGCCTCAAACTCCCAGAGATCTGCCTCTGCCTCCCGAGTGCTAGGATAAAAGGCATGCACCACCACCGCCCGGCTGATATGTTCTTATTATTATTTTATTAGATCAACATTTAAAACCTAATCTTAAATTTTAATTTTTAAAAATGTTTTCCCATTGCAAAAGCTTTTGCTGTTTGGATTGACAGTCATTGCTTTAATCATAAGTATTTTGTTCAGAGAGTGATAGTTACTTAAAATATGCCTAATAAATTGCATAGTGTTGTAAAACTTGTTCTACTGGACACATATTTCCATGAAGAGAGCTACCTCAAAACCCTCAGCCATGCTTCTTCTGGCTTGAAATTTGAGGGATGGGAAACAGATCTCTATGATGAGACTTCCACTTTGGGTACTGAGGTGAGTGAATTGATGCAAATGGTCCAAAATTGGTAGAAGAGGAGATGCCAGGAACCCCAGAAGTCATGCGGTTGAGCCAGCAGGCAGTGTTTTTCGTGCATCTCATCTCTGCCTTCAGGGTCACTGCAAGCACCCTAATAGGCTTTAAGGGACAGGACCCCAGGTCTGCAAGGTAGAGATCCTGTTCAAAGCCTAAATCAAGCTGAGAGGGCCTCTGTGGATTGAGAGGAATTTTCTCCTAAGAGAAAGTATGGGTTCAGAACCCTGACCCTGCTGTCAGGCCCAAGAAACTCAAACCTTGAGAACCATGTGAGGAAGTTTGCCCAGATCATCTTTTCTGGGACTCAGAAAGGTGTGGCTTCCTACGGAGACTGGACGTGAACCTGAGGCATTACTTGGCTGTGGAAAAGAGTGGGACACAGCACTCTGAGATCCAGGACAAAGCTGTCAACCTGTGTAGTAAATCTAGACTTCCACGTAAAGGACTGAGGCAAGGAAGGGTTATGTGTGTAGCTGGCAGACTTGGATGCATACTGGGCAGGAGCTTGAGCTTCACTCTACCTAGTTGAAACTTGCTAGACAAATGTTGTGCCCTTGTGTCCTTTATTAGACCCCTCAACCCCATGGTGGTGGGGTTCCTGAAAGTAGAGAAGTGTATGTAAATGCTGAGAATTAAGCTGTAAATAGAAAAAGACTTTCATGCAACCTGGGGCAGGACATGTAAAATGGGGGAGAGGAGGAGGAAGGTTCAGGTAGTTTATGGTGGAGATGGATGCATTGCGGGGTGGATGGTGTTATTCTTTTGGTCTCTGGTCCCTTTAAGGGACAAGCCACAACCATTCCCAGTGACCTCTGACCCCTGTCCCACCATCTTGAATCTTTCTCGCTGTCCCGCCTTGGCGTATGCACACTTTTCTCTCTCTCTCTCTCTCTCTCTCTCTCTCTCTCTCTCTCTCTCTCTCTCTCTCTCTCTCTCTCTCTCCGTCTCTTTCTGTCTCTCTCTCTCTCCTCTAAATAATAAATGTTCAGCTTATGCCTATTTTCTGTGTCTATGTGCCTTTTACCCGTTGCTTGTTCACACCTGCCCACCTTCTGGGGATCCGCCGAGGCTAGCGGCTGCTCTGAGAACCCGTTGGGGGCACTCTGGGATTTTTAAAAAATCATAAACTTGGTGCTGTGACTCGAATATCCTGAACCAGGTTCTTTTTTTACTCCCACCACCAGCTTTCCAGATGGCTTCAATTGGTGAGTGTCTTCCCGTTCTGCTAAGGTTGCTCTTGTTCTGCTATGGTTGCTTTCCTTTACCAGAGTCGTGTTTGGATCAGTCCTGGGGGTCGGTCCACCGCATTAGCACTACACACTTCCCATGCAGTACATTTGACCAGGGTCCCTCATTTTCTTTGTCTTTTTTCATTTTTTCTCTTTCCTTTTTCTCTTCTTTGGTCAGTTAACTGCCATTCTGAATGGCCCTGGCCTCTCTGGGTTCTGGGTCACCAGAATCCAGCTAGGCTATAACACTCCACTCACGGTCCTCGTCCATGAGTCCTGAATGTTCACGCTGATTTGCATCACACCTATATCTCTTGGAAGACGTTCCAATATAGGCTTTGGATGCTATTTTTGCCGGTTTTCACAATTTTTGGCTCTGGATAGCAACCAGCTCCCTGGCTTTTAAAATTCCAGCCATCTTTTCAATTCCAGCCATGGCATGGTGTAGTTTTTTCAGTTCCAGCCTTTTGCCCCTCCCCTCTGTGGCTTCTGTTATGTCATGGCAGCTCAGCAACAGATCAGATCACGCCTTTAGGTCCCTCTCATTAAGCTTAAAATCATTACAGCTCAAAAATTATGACTTTTTTCATACAACACGTGGCTGTCGCCATCTTGGCCGAGGGCCAGGTGGGTCAGGTGACTTTATCATCATCTTGGCTGAGAGCCAGGTCAGGTGACCAAGCTCTCCCAGTTCTACTACTGCATACCCTGCATTTTGACCCAGTTTTCACTAAACTCCTCATGTTAACTCTCTAACATGTATCTAACATGTGTTTTGCGCCATGGCATGCCTTTGATAGGGCCCATCAAAGGCATCCACGTTGCCCAATTCCTGTTCACTCTTTCTGTGTATAATAATTGTTCATTACATCTCATTTCAGATTATAAAATCATAAGTCTCATATTTTAAACGGTATGTACTTTTAAGTCTCTTACAAAAATGCCTTATATTTGATATTAAGCTGTTCTCTACCATTGTCAGTTCTGCCATTATCCTTATATTACAAACAGTTTTTCTTCTTCTTTCTGTCTTTTTATGAGTGTAAATCTTACCTGTTAAGAACCAGAACAGTCAAGTTCAAACCCAACCTTCCAGGCAGATTCTATACTGCAGCTATACATAATAAATAGCCTCAACTGCTCAGAGGTCTGGGGAATGTGATATTTAAATATTTAATTATTAAAAAACTTTTCATAGCAAAAAACAGACAGGTTGGCTCCTTAGCAGCAACACTCTGCTTCCTCCAAAGAAGACAGACGACAAATGGGCACACAGAACAACACCCTTCTGCAGTTTGCTTTGACTGCCGAGAGCTGACCATTGGGAAAAAACTGCCTTTAGTCTAAAGACCTCTAGACGTGGATGGAATCGCTGGAATCGACAGCCTAGCTGCTCAGGTCAAGGTAGGCCTGTCTTCCTACAGATTTCTTAGCCCACAGGGTCTTCTGGAGCCTGGCAGGCCTGGTGCTAACCAGCAAAGGTCAAATGCTACCTTCAGCGACCATGGAGGACCCAAAAGAGGAGGTCTGGGTGCCAACCAAGTAAGTTCTCTGTCATTTTTCAATCGGTAACTCAAGTAAAATCTTATCCTTCTCAAAGATCTCTGACAGTTTGATAGCTGAGAGGTTTTGCAAGGTTACCTCACCAAATAAATTTCAAATCAAATTTATCTCTTATGCTGCCTTCCATAGTATTAAAAAACACTTTTCATTGTACGAAAATATGTCACAGTCATAAGTCATTATATATACTCTCTCTCTATATATGTGTGTGTATATATACATATATACATATGTGTATACACACACATACACACAATACATACATATATATATATATATATATATATATATATATATATATATATATATATATGTCTAAAACTTCTGTTTCACAAAACCAAGGAGTTCTTGTGAGTTCCCAGGAGCCGAATTAAGGAATCCATCTTAAACAGGTCAGATACCCCCTCAATTCCCTGGTCCAAA